GGTCTACTAAGTTATTTTTAACATTAACTTGCAGTAGAATAGTATGTACAACACAAAGGATATTTTGACCAACCTTCTTCTTAGACCCTAATAAAATACATAGAATTCAAAGAAAGATTTATGGCGACCATGTTGGGTAAGTTGTATTAGACACATTCTGGTTCACTTAAAGAAATTGAGGAGTTCTAACTTTAATAACAAAGTCATGTTATTTCCCAAAGATCAAGAGACTTCTTGTTTATTATATCCTTTTTAAGATAGTAGCAGCTGGCGGCGACATTTTGTACGCGTATTTATGAGCCAAACTTAGTTAGTAGCAAAACCAAGTTCTTCATTCTAACGAGATCATCTTTCCTTCACCGCATTATTATTTTGTCAAAGAAATGATATTCGATGATCTAATTTTACTTGCTCTGTCTTTGAATACTAGTTTTAGAATTTAGTTATTTCGTTGGTCAAGTCAAAGTACTTGTATGTCTTTAAAAAAAAACAATTACTTTGACTCGTTATTTCGTTGCGTTGTGTGCCGTAGAAGTGGGTGCGAGGGGTATACTAGCTACATCCTTCTATAACCTGCTTAAAGACATTGCATTGCCAAGAGCTTCAGTAAGCTCTTTTCTAGAACGAATTTTCAAAGCGGCATTGATAGGCTTATATCAAATATGGTAAGGTAGAGGGGGTAAGACAGCAGACAGCGCTCACCGCGCTGACGCGTGGCAAGGAGTACTCCCTAAACCTGTCCCTAGGTCGCAATTCTCAGGCGCTGTCGAAATCGTATGTGTTGCCCCCATCTATCACGCGCTGCACCCGGCACCCGCACGGTGAATCCATAGAACGCTAAGAAATAGGTCTTAGGTAACAAATATAATTACCTAAGGTATTTCTTAACTAATAATTTATTGAATACCATACTTATATAACAAAACAGCTAGCTAGCAACTACCACAGACATATACAAGATACCGTTAACTAAATTAATGATAAACCATAGATTGGTACTCAGACTATTTTTATTCTACGTTACTACTACTGTCTGATTTTATTTTTATTCTACTTTATCTAGTATATAAAATATAAAAATGTATGTTTGTTCCTATTTAATGCGCTGTCCTATCATGAAACTTTGCTCACATGAGGCCAGGGATAAAGAAAAGATTACAGGATAACTTTTATCCAGAATAAAATTGCTATTCCCGAAGGATGGAAAAATTACTATCAAATAGACCCGCGGACAAAAATAAATAATGTAAACACTAAGGCCCGTATTTTGAAAGACGTCTCAAGTGTCGGTTGAACTCTGATTGCCTGAAACTAGTTTTAAGTGCAGATCAAATCTTAAGTATCGATTTTATTATAGAACGCGTTTTGAGTTCTACTCAGTTGAAACTAGTTTCAAGTATTGATTTGAACTTACAGTCTGTTCTCAATTACGTTTCCGCATGATTGACATTATTATTCCGCATTACGCAGCTAATTATTAAAAAAATATTTTTCTTTTACAAACATAATTCTTGTGAATTTGTATATAATATACTATTGGCTAGTGTAGCAATTTTAACATATTAATAAGTTTGTTGTTCGTTCAAAATGAAATTTAATAAATATTAAAATAAAAATGACTAGCTGTATGAATAGGCTATAACGGAACGTTTAAGTTATTTATCAACACTCATCATGTTGAAATGTCAAATGATGTTTTTATTTGATATTTCTGAAATTTATATTACTATACTTTTAACATAAACCAAAAGATTGTGGTATTTTAAACTGGTATTGTATGTGTAAAATGTGAATTTTGGTGAATTTCATATAAATTAAGGTAAATTAAAGTGAAATTGATTATAGTACGACAAGTCATTCTTTCGTAAATAAAGTAAAGTAAATCTTTCGTAATTATTCAAAAACAAATCATCGTAAAACACATTCATTTCCCCTAAATGCCTTAGAAATCACCGCTTGAGACTAGCTTCAGCTTGTCTCACGTAAACAAAGATCACAGCTGTCAAAATCTATACCTGAGTAATGATTTCGACATAAACATCGTTCTAAAATAAGCTATCACTCAGTTGAGTATGGATCGGTGAATCTCGTTTTAAGTGACGTTCAATAATAAAATCTCTACTTAAAATTAGTTTTAAGACTAGATTCACGACTGAGACACCTTGTAAAATACGGGCCTAAGAGTGTTTACATGATTGTGAATTACGTAACAGCTTAGTTTGTGATTGTAATTATCTGTTAGTAATAACTTTCCTATGATATTGTGTTGAAATGTTTTTAGGACTGTAGTTTGTATGTACGTACAGAGAAGAAGAGAAAAGTAGAAAAAAAGCGAAAACAGGTATAGAAAAGCGTTCATTGAAAAAAATATTTGGAAAACAATGTACTGTTGGGATAGTATTTACAAAAGACTATATTGTTCTTAAAATACTAATTCGGCTGTATGTATACGTATGCGTTCAAAATAAATAAGCTTTGTGAAACTACAAGGCTTTTAAAAAGGCTTAAATGCAAAACAAATTCGTGTAGAAACGTGTACCGAGTGTAAAAGCAGAATTGTTTTCTTTCATTTATTTTTTAAGCCAACGTTAATAAAGAATAGTGCATTGGTAGTTATGGCTTCGTAAAACTTTTTAAAAACAGTTGAGATAATGAAAAAAATATATAAATATTTAAAACTATTATCTATCGCGGTAAAAAGTAGCCTATGGCCTTCTACAAAAATCAAAATATCTCCATACAAAAATTCATTAAAATGGGTTCAGCGGTACCGTGAAAGCGTAACAGACATTCAAAGTTACTTTCGCATTTATAATTTTAAGTAGGGATGACAAACTTTAAATTTGTGGATACCTGATTCTTTGAAAAAAACTATTTAAATGGAGTAGAATGTTTGCTTTAGAACTGTGTGTACATTTGTCTCTACTAACCTAAAATAGCAAAACCTATATTATCCAATTCCATAACATTCTAAGAGGCTATAAGGCAATTTATATACTCGTAGTACCTTTAGCTTAATCTACTTAGTCAACTGACATAATTTACTTTTACATTTAAATTTAAAAGTTTTCTATTTGATATCGCTGAGCCCTTTGTTATTGAGATTAAGTTAGTTAGAGACCAAAAGCTTCGTCAACAATTCATTAAACTTTCATTTTCACGAAACTGGGAAGAATAATCAATGGGCAGACAGAATAGGGACTGTGGACCGTGATGGATTTGAACCAATCAATGCAGCTGGATAAATTAAAAGTGCTAGCTCACGAAGTGTCTAAACAATGCTGTTCGGCCTCGATTGGCGTAAGCGTAAGCGAACTTACTGATTGGTATTGGTTTTGCAAAAGTACTGGCGATGTATGGGAATGGCAAGATTTATAAACGAGGTAGTACAAGAAAATAAACTCCTTGGTTTTCTATAATCTCACACTGACACACACACACTTGACAATGGATCCATGTCAAAAAGTGTACACATGTTAAAAGCCTTACAATAGTTATCATTATTTTGATTACATAAATATGAGAAGTTCCATATTTCATTATTTTTATAACTAACTCCATATAAGTAATTATATATCTTATGAATACCTCCACAAGGTAAATAGAACTAATACATCATCATTGATTCGGCGCTGAATAATCCATTTTCCCCGACAGTGTAACTGCTCAATAAATGATTTTCTCCATAAGGATAATAGCTGGATTTTCTCCTGTTTATTGTGGACTCGATCTTGTGGTATGATTGATTGAGGCTTAGGTGGAACTCTTCCAAGGGGAAATTACTTCGTTACTCTTCTTAGATACTTAAATATAGCTGACGAAAAACTCCACAATTAATGTTTTCTAAGTATGATTTTATTATTAATTATTTGATGCATGTGATAGATTAAATATAATTATGAATTGTGAGTGTAGTTTGAGTTATTTATTTTCTAGGGGATTTGTACTTAAATGAAAAAACATTTTAGACAAATTCCAACATACTTTTATTCTATTCATTCATAGCCACTTGTGTAGTGTATGACATTTTAAATAGATATATATTTACAAATATTTAATAACAATTTACTAGCCTCATTGACACATCTGAAATTTTAAACTTCCTAGAAGTAATTAAAAATGAATCCCTTAAGTGAAAAGTAAAAAGAATATCGATAGACTCTTTGTTTAGGTCGCTTTTAACAAACTAGTAGATACTTTACAATAAATTAACTTTATGTACAACGAACAAAATATTTTTTCCACATTATAAACTTTAGTCATCAGTCTTTGCCAAGGGTTATTTATATGCCCCAATTTATCGTTAAAATGAATGTCTGTTTATGCCGTCAATACATCACGGAAATGGAAGATTAGCGCAGTTTTAGTTGTCATCAAGTTTTGTTTCTTAAAATACAACTTTTTGTAATTACTATTTCATCTATTTTAATACTATATTTACAATAAGCCTTAGCTTACAAATTTAAATTCATGGAACGTTTATTACACAATTAATTTCGGAAATTGCGTGGTGGTCTAATTACATTGCTCCTTCCACTGTGTTTCGAATAATAAGTCATATTTCATTAAAATTCGCCTAAGAGTCATTAAATTACTCTTTTATAAACCGACTTCGGTACATTTTTTTTTTCGACTACGGATGCTGAATACGTACTTTAGAATTAACTTTTTAATTTTTGTTCAAAATATAGAAGCTATATCCTTGTTAACTTCATCTATTCTCTTAATTGTGGTTATCTTTACTTAGCAACTAATTTTGGCCAGTATGACCTACCGCTAAAAATATCGTAAATAATCTCTCATAACAATAAATAGAACATTTCATACAAGAGTAGTCGCAGCTACACATTACATAGAAAGGAAGTCAATCTGTTACAACAAAATATAAATTCATAAAACTGGATATGTTTAATGAATTTGTACACGGTGAAAATTACTTTTAGGTAAATAGTAAATACTTAAAAATAAATTTGTATTTAATTAATTATTGTAGTAACAAACTACCGTACACTGTACAGCAATAGTACGAATGCTGTTGGTATTCGCCAAAGACTGCGTGACGACAAATCTGCAACAATTTGAATAATTGTTAATCAAATAAGTTTTGTTATTGGACAAGCAAAAGCAAACTGATGATGGGCTCCCTTTTATAAAAAAATGCTATTTTGTACACTATTTGTTATGGGCAAGAAAAAAAGAATATAAAATTAAATTTACTACTGAAAAAAACGCTTCGTCACTTCACTAAAAACGTAAATAACATATTGGTGGAGCTTGGAGAAAAATTAATGAATTCGATTTAACTTTAAGAGCATGTTTTGTGTTAAAAGTTTTCCACATGGACATTACACAAGTATCGATTGCACTTACCTGCTGCTCTATTACGGACGCCTAGCACGGATGCAACTTCTGGTTGCTCCATATCGAAAATTAGTTCGGCGCGTGCCGAGTACAGGTTGTATATGTTTGCTATACAGGTCAGTCGGAGACTACCGCGCTCGAACGCTTCGTTTCGCACCACGAACGACACCTCTCCTATTGACGGCAGTCTATTATCCGGACCTGTTCTCTCGAATGATGGCTTTGAAATGTCTTTCGGTGGCCTCCTAATTTCCTCTTTATGCTGATTTATGTAAGACTCGTCTAAATATTGAATGTTGCCTTCATCGTGAAAAATATTGAACATCATGTCGTCATCAGGTTGCTCCGTAGTCGTCGCTTCGGGCTTCGGTGGCGGGTCCCACTTAAACCACGATGGCAACTCGTGAAAGAGTGATTCCATGTCAACCTATGAACAAAATATCAATAATAATAAAAAAAAATATATAAGTACCGTAACAGAACGGGAAATCTAACGGATATTACAGAGCTTGGCGTTAGATAAAGGAAACTGTATACGTATGTATGTACATAGCTCTGAGCTCTTTTGTGATTAATGAACACGCCTACGCAGCGGCAGTGACGACGGCAAAAACAACGGTCGCGTCAAAGTGAAGTAAGTAGGAACTGGTCCATTGTCCGCCTTGGACATCGCGAACCCCTGTCTGTCTGATGAACGCTGATCAAACGAGTTTTTGAAACGGAAATTTCAATAAAGTGGACAAGAAATTGCGAGATGTGTCAGTGGAAATTTAGAGTTAAGTATATCACCTATTTTAGATAACACTCAGTCTCTTATGCTGTTCTTACACCTTGTGAAGATAAAAGATACGATTCGAATAATATTTTAATGGTTGTTTTTTTGTAAATTATGTTTTATTTTATATTTATACTAAATTTCCTTTAAAGGAACTTAGTATAACTAAGTTCCTTTGATATATAGGTATATAATATACATTACATTAAATAATTATCGTGATTTACACAAAAACTTAAATAAGTCGCAGTTATAAATTAACTAATAAGACGGCTTGGATTTCGAGACTTGTGAATAAAGTGTGTTTCTATTAGTAATGAATTTTTAAAATGAATAATGACTACATGTAATAATTAGTTCGTGAAGCAATTTAGTCCAAAAAAGATAAGATAGGAGAATAAGATAAGATAAGAATAACAGATTCAATTTTTTATAAATAGAAGCGAAAGCGCCAGGTATAAAAGGCTTATACTATAAACTATGAAATCCCTTGTGTAGCATCTGCTTCGCGCTAAGTGTTGCTAATGTCCTCTTAACTCAGTGGCCTTAATTTTAATAAAAAAAAAAAATTACGAGTCAAAATCTCCTCTACTTTATTTTGTTTTACCGTTAAATCGCAAGCTTATCTTCACCTAGGTAAAAAATGTCTTAGGAACAGAGACGCTAAAGCTTAGCTTACTCTTGTCATCCTTTGCGCTAGCTTTGTATTAAGTTACCAATTACTCCATTGAATACCATCAATAAGGATTTATTCCATTTCTACATCATTACGTATTCTATAGATTGTATGGCATTCCATACGATGTAACAAAGGTGTAGCAGTAAAATTTAACACTGCGTGATTATCACTTCACCTGAACAGTTTTAAAATCCATTTTATTGGTAGTTTTAAGAGTTGAACCGCTATTGCAGTAAAAAAAAAGTTGATCTGATATGATGATGATATGATTTTTTTTAGAAAGAATTAATCAATTTTTGCGTATTTTTAACAAACTTCAAAAAAGGAGGAGGTTCTCAATAAGTCGGCATCTTTTTTAAAATTTAAAATTTAGTGATATGTTTTTATTATGGTTTAAGTGCCGTAGTTTCACTAATGTGCTTATTTGTGGGCGTGTTATGCAGTAGTAGAAAAATATAGACTTACTTACATACAACTAAATAATTTAATGTAAACATCTGCGTTTATGAACTATTTTATATATGGTATAGAGAATCCCCCCTTGAAAATAAATAAGTGAAAATACTCTCTATACAACAAAAATATGAAACAATAACGTAATATTTGAATTAGAAATCTTTCTCAATTCTCAAATGAATATTCATTGCTATCTCATTTTCCTAAAATCAGGTTTAAATATTCTTAAGTGATATTAAAATGGAGTGGGTGATAAAGGGAACCGAATTGCTGTAATAGCATTACACAAAATAGATGTGGAGCCAAATGCAATTTTTGAAACTCTCCATCGACTTGATATTTTAAAAAGTCAAATGTTTGTGAACCGGGCTATTGACCGGTAAAGTGCAACGTTCTCTGGTACTGGCAAAATAGATGCCAGATAGATAGTGAAATAAATTTTTGAAGGTTTGTATACTTTGTTTGCCAATGGATATGATTTTATTTGACAATATCTGATATGGTTTTATTTACTTTATACCTAATATTATTTGTCTTTCAAAACAGTTGGTATAGTATGGGTGACTATCGAAATACTGACTTGCCAACTCGACTTTTACAATGTTGATAATTCTAACTTCACTATTATTTAAAAAACAAAAAATAGGTTAATTTTCGTGTTTTTTTTATTATCCTTCATAATATTTATATATTAGTTATTAAGAAGTAAAATATCTTACCTCACGACCGTTTAGTGCGAACGTCAAATTAGCTGGAGGATGAGCAGGCGATGAGGCACAAGTGGCTCGCAAAGTTGAGCCAACGCCATACCAAGAGCGATCTGAGACTAACTTAGGGCCCCACTCTGGAGCTTCTGTAATAAGAATAATACATTAACAATATATTATGTAGTAGTACAGTACCCATATGTAGCTAAAGAGAGTTCGTATGTCTCGTCGAAGCCAATAATTGTAAAATTTCACGTCTATTTGCAGTGTTCTACGTGTTTGAATATAAAATATGAATGTATTTATAAAAAAAAAACTGTTTAACTGTGTTTATTCATGTTGAAGAATAGCACAAGCTATAATTATCTACGGGTTGTAAGAATATTATATTAGCCGACCCTGCAGACTTCTTGCCTAGGATTTTCATTATGACGTCGTAAGTTTTAGTAGCAGTGTTAATTACCTATTGTTAATTTAAATCGTTTAATCATCAATCAGCATTGATGTCATCATGAGATTTTTTAAGGAAATAGACATGAATAAATCAACTTTCCATAACATTATATAACACACACACACACACACACGAAATAACATCTTTAACCACCGTAAATACGATCATGTGTCAACTTTCCGTTCGCAGCTTAACTGGTTACCCATTCGTCTACGTCGTAAATTACGCACTCTCACTGTCTTATTCACTATTCTTAATGACCCATTTTCCAACTCCTATGTAGTAATCACGACAGAAACCTTCGGTCCTCCAATAACCTTCTTCTTCGTTGTCCGCCCCACACGTCTGAGTTTGTTGGCTCATCCTTTTTCGTTCAGTCCGTTCTTCTTTGGAATGCGCTTCCACTCGAAATTAGGATGGATTCCAATACGTTTTCCTTTAAAGTAAAAGGAAAGCAGTATCTGGTCAAACAACTGGTAGAATCAACTTGGTCATGATTTTTATTTTAATACAAAATTGTTGTCAGTATCTACTTGCGTGTGTATGTATGTATTTATATACTTTTAGACTGTATTTATGTATTATACGGTATGTAATTATATGTAACATTAATATGTATAGGTGTAGTATATGACAGATTTATATATGTGTATATATTATATGATTTTGTACAAAGTATACATACAATATTAAATGTCTAAATCAACTGTGACTAAAATGCACCTACATATTTCCTGTTTTCTCTGCATCACCCAATGGTTGACTGGTAGATAATGCCTTTAGGCATTAAGTCCGCCAATGCACCAAATGTGCATGATGTGTAAATAAATAAATTTGTGATCATCATTAACCGCATTACAAAAGTCTTTTGTAAATGAGTCTGTTTAGCCGTGCGACTTTTTTTAGACCCATTTATAATTTAAATAACCGCCACTGATTCATTTGGAATTAAATTAAAAAACGAAAGAATATAATACTGAAAGAAGTCCATTCGCAAAATGCCACTTTTACTTTTTTAATGCAATTTATTTACTTAGCTGAAAGACCCTTTAAGGTCTTGGCAAGCATTTTTGTTTAAATATGTGAGCAGTCCTGCTCACATATTATTCAGCTGTGCCGCATTTGACATATCTAAATTCGGTATAAAGATTTTTCTCTTATAAAAATACCTTTAAATATTCCCCTTAGGTATTTTTATAATGCCCTTCTGCTCCACAAAAATTGACAGTAATGAACAAGATTAAAATATACACTCAATGATTCTTTAACTCATAGGAAACCCTTTACCGTTTTAATAATTATTATCAGAAGTCTAGGCATAGACCACTTCACTGTTTAATAACAGAGATTTATGAACTCTGTAACAGAGATTATTTTTTTTGTTATTTCTTTTATACCCCATCCGTGTAATATCGAGATAGTAAATAGCACAGTGTGTGTTTTAAAAAATACAAATTGTAACTAGAAAATGTACACATTTAAAAATGAAGAAAATCTTACAATATATGAAAACATAGTCATAACGAGGCCCTAGTTCTTTATGAGCAATTTAGGTTCATGTTCAACAAGCTAAACGACGACGCGACGACGTATCGTTTAATAAGGTATTATAAAAAGCAGTCCGCAGATAAGTCGCAAACGTAAAGTAATGAATATCAGTAAAAGCAAAATAGTAATTAAAAGTAATTTAATTTTAATTAAAACTACTACTGATCACCGAGACTGTGTACAGTAATGATATCTGTCCAATTACTAAGTAAAACTGTTGGATTGATTGTCGAATAGACTCATTATCAAGAATGACATTAAAATAAAATCTAAGTTTTAACTCTAGCTAAACAAAGTTGTTTTTTTTTAAATGTATTTTTCATTCTACTATGAATTAGGACTATTAATTGTAATTGCTGTTCGTTTTGTATATAAACCTTTTATGGTAATTGGGAACAGCACAAAAAAAATATCACGAAAATTGGTCGAACCATTCTCAAATGATGTTCCGACACACATGTGACAATAGATTTAACTCACTTATACAGAATTTTTGGAGGGTCGTATAGTAAGCCCTGTAAATGACATAAAGTGCTAACAATTTTACGAGAAATCGTGATTTTAATCCAGGAATATCATTCTGAAATTCACAAATTGTATTTGAAAATTGACCGATAAAGCTATTTCGTAAGAGAAAGAACTGACATTTATAAAGCTATGGGTATTGAATACTAATGATGTTTATGGAATGTCGGGATTTTATCGCAAATACCCGCAGACAATAATACGAAATCGTTTAATCGATATGCAATGAGTTGACAATACGATGTTTAAAAATGTTCACCTACCCCAGATCAAGAAAGTAATTCGAAGAGTCATTCATTTGTTTTTTAACTATTTTACGACTACACGCAAAGCTTCTGTGTTTGGATTATCCTATTTACATACTCTATGTGCAGTGTCCACGAATTACAAAACAGGCTCCGACTTCAAACAGACTAGAAGGGACTATTGATATTATAATGTTACCTGTTACATTGAGGGTACTTATTATAGTTTTTTACTTAGATTTGTAATTATTTTTTAATTTTTAGTGTTCTTAGTCGGTGTTGTTTGAAGTTGTTTCAACTTTTTTTTTAAAAGGGTTTATTTTACCATTTTTAGTGTAGGATATGAAAATGACATTGGCGTCCAAACTTATCAAGATCATCTTAAATTCTTTTCTAAGAAACAGTCAAATTCTTGTGAGTTGCAACCGAACAAAATACTCGTAACTTCCAATTTAATTGACACTGATCTCGAAGGTGAAGATAGGGAAGCTTTAGTGAGACTACTCAACAAATATGCTCAATATTTTATAGAAATAGTTCCAACTAGAAGGGTTAATACTGGTATGTTAGAAATTAACCTAGTTGACCCACACAAAATTTAAGAGTTTTTTCCAGAACTATTTTAATAAATTAAGTATAAAATTACTTACAAACGAAATGCGATGCCATCCATAGCAACAAACCGTCTATCCGAATTATTTTAACAAGACAATTTCAACCTTTTCTTCTTAATACAACGAAAATTACTGTGGTGACATAAATACTGCAAGTTCTCTGCGCATCACATCGCGCAGTCTCTGACGGTTGCCATGGTTTGTTTGGCAAAAGAAATACTCGTAGCTAAAACACGTTGTCGGGGCTGTCAAATTCCCAATAATTGTGAGGGTTTCCCTCGATTTCTCTAGGATCCCATCATCAGATCCTAAATTGGTGATAATGGGACCAATTCGGGAGCATACCCTTTCGATTACAAAAAGAATTTTGAAAATCGGTCCACAATTGACGGAGAAATCGCGTAACAAACGTACATAAAAAAAATACAGACGAATTGAGAACCTCCTCTTTTGTGTTTTGGAAGTCGGTTAAAAAGTAATAGTGTAGAACTGTTTCGCCTTTTATCCTGTAAAATATGAAAATTGATAGAATGTGCAAAAAAATACTTTTTAGAGTTAGGTTAGATGAACAGCAAACAGTCTCTCTGATAGAATGACCTGTTTAGCCTATAGACGTGAAAATCAGCACCTACCGCTATTTATTTAAACTTGAATCACGTTAACCCTAATGAATGCTACAAAATGGTCCTGCTTCAATTGTATTTGCTTTACATTAAGTTTTAAACCTTTTATCAATTACTTCCAAAAAAATATTTCAATCGAGATATTTTACATCTTATACAGATCAAGCTTTTCATTGCGTAACATTAAAACATATTCTTTGCTGTCGTTACATTATTAATGCCAATCAGGAAAATATTGGGTCTTTACCTATGAAATTGCCGTTTTGTATGCAATAAGTGAAAGTACTTATTTTTTCAAACTTTTTTATTTCTGTTATTCGAAGTAATCACTTATGTAATCGACGCATCTTTGCCAACGCATTGGCAGTTTATTGATGCCCTTCTTGTAAAAATCAGCTGGACGGGAGGCAACAAACTCTTCAAAGGCATTTTGTACTGCCTCTCGGGAATTGAATTTTTTACCCACTAAAAAGTTGTCTAAATTTTGGAAAAAGTAATAGTCGGTAGGTGCAAGGTCTGGTGAGTACCAAGCAACCAGTTTTGGTCAATCGGTCGTCCCCACTGCTCCTTCACGACAACGCGCGACCCCATACTGCGCAACAGACAGTCTCCAAGCTGCAAGAGCTGGGGTTGGAAGCTCTCCCTCATCCGCCATACTCACCAGACCTTGCACCTACCGACTATTACTTTTTCCAAAATTTAGACAACTTTTTAGAGTATAGGCTGTTGATGTGATGTGTGATGATGAACAGAAATAAAAAAGTTTGAAAAAATAAGTACTTTCACTTATTGCATACAAAACGGCAATTTCATAGGTAAAGACCTATTACATTGAAAGTTATCGGAAAAGATACAAAAATCATAAGGAATAATAATATATGAATAAGAATATATTAATACGAAAAACATAATAAAAGTTTTGTTGTATGAGTGTGTATGTGTGTCTGTAGTGCGCAATAGTGTAAGATAATGTGTTTGTTGTTAAGTAGGTACCTAAAATGACCCATGCTATGTATGAATTATTCAAATCTGTGCATTTTAACAAACATAGAAAACTCTTTACCTTTTTAACATTAGAAGATAGCTTGAAATTCAGTTAGCGCAATGACGATAACTTATTTTAAAATGTAATTCAGA